TGCTTTGGGAGGCCAAGGCGGGGGAATTTCTTGAGCCCAGGAGTTCAAGACCAACCTGGGCAACATAGCAGATACTGTCTCTATAAAAAAATTTAAAAAGTTAGCTGGGTATGGTGGTGCTCGCCTGTAGTCCTAGCTACTGGGGAGGCTGAGGTGGGAGGATCGCTTGAGCATAGGAATTTGAGGTTGATGAAGTTTACATCATTTCCAGCTTTTTTTTTTTTTAAGTTTTTTTAAATTTTCATTTCTTTTAGAGACAGGGTCTCACTCTGTCACCCAGACTGGAGCTAGAGTGCAAGGGCATGATCCTGGCTCACTGCAGCCTCAACCTTACTGGTTCAGGCGATCCTCCTGCCACAGCCTCCATAGTAGCTGGGGCTACCGGCGTGCACCACCACACCTGGCTAGTTTTTACATTTTTTGTAGAGACAGGGTCTCACTATGTTAGCCAGGCTGGTTTTGAACTCCTGGGCCCAGGTGATCATCCCGCCACGGCCTCCTGAAGTGCTGGGATTACAGGCAGGAGCCACTGCACCTGGCCTGTTCCCAGCTTTTGATGCTACAGCAAAGATCATTATGCCCATGTACATGAATCTTTGGACATGAGAAAATGGTTTTGTGTTAATCTCCGTCTCACATGATGTCAGTGTTCTTAAACCAAAAGAACTTTTAACTAGATGTGCCCAGAGGGCTCTGCTGTCATGAGTGCTACCGCCATGTCCCCTGTGCCCTGTGGCAAACTCTGACATCTCTTGCCTTTATGGCCACGTGGCATGGAGGGAGAAGTGTTCCAGACTTGAGTAGCAAAAGTCTGTTCACTGGAGACTCCTTTACTGCCACTTCTCTTATTACAGCCCTAACTGTGGTCCTCCTTGTGCTTCCGGAAGTTTAGGATGATGAGACGAGTTTGACAGCTCCCTTCAGCAGACTGTGCCCTCAGTGTGCTTGCACGGAAAGGCCTCCAAGATGAATGAAGTGAAAAAAGCAACTGCAGATGGCTGCCTGCAGCGTGCTATCTTTTGCATAAAGGAGGCAGAAATGAAAACATTTGCATAAAGAAATTCTGGAAGGATGTTGGAGAAGCTAATCATGTTCTACCAAGTTGGAGGGTGATGTGGGAACGGGAAAGGGCTGACAGTGAGGACTTGTTAAATATGCTTTTGATTTTTTGGAACCTTGCAAATGTGTTACCTACTTAAAAGTTTTAAATTTTTCTATGGCTTAAAATTCAAAACAAAGCCAAAAAGAAGTATTCAATGACAAAAAAAAAAAAACAAAAAAAAACAAGCCCCAAAACAACAGGAGGGGTTCATGATAGCTGCACTGTTCAAAGCACTGACTTTTTTCCTTTGAGAAATATGCTTGAGGCTGGGTGGTGGCTCATGCCTGTCATCCCAACACTTTTAGAGGCCAAGGCGCGCAGACCACTTGAGCCTAGGTGTTCAAGACCAGCCTGGGCAATGTGGCGAAACCCCGTCTCTACAAACAAATACGACAATTAGCTGTGTGTGGCAGTGGGTGCCTGCAGCCCTAGCTACGAGGGAGGTTGAGGTCGGGGGATTGCTTGAGCCCAGGAGGTGGAGGTTGCAGTGAGCCAAGATTGCTCCATGTACTCCAGCCTGGTTGACAGAGCAAGACCCTGTCTCAAAAAAAAAAAAAAAAAAAAAAAGGAAAATATACTTGAGTATATTTAGGTAATATTTTAGAACACCAAACCTAGAAAATTGAACATCCTTGTATATGAGTGAGTGAATTGTCTCCTCTGACCCCATGAACGCATGAAAAATTTTTTACCCAGCCAGCCAGCGATTAAAACTAGAAAAAGAATGGAAGCACAGACAGGAGGCATGTGTCATATCAAGTAACAACGAAGCCAGTGAACAATGTAGAAAACATAAATCAACACACAAACATCTATTTGTGTAACACATAGTAAAACCCTATTCTAAAGTGCCTCGTGGCTTGGGGGTGGTGGCTCATGCACCATGCCTGTAATTCCAGCACTTTGGGAGGCCAAGGTGGGAGGATCACTCAAGCCCAGGAGTTTGAGACCAGCATGGACAGCATAGTGAGACCCCGTCTTTACAGAAAATATGAACGTTAGCTGAGCATGATGGTGCACACCTGTGGTCCCAGATACTTGGGAGGCTGAGGTGGATCACTTGAGCGCTGGGAGGTTGAGGCTGCAGTGAGCTGATTGTGCCACTGCACACTTCAGCCTGGGCAACAGCGTGAGACCCTGTCTCAAAAAAAAAAATCAATTAATTAATAGAGTGCCTTGCTTGTGTCACATGGGTTTGATAACACTGAGGGTCAGACCCTTACCGCTGTAACGTGGTCTGCGATGTGGACCTTCTTGTTCCAGATACCATTGATGTATCATTGACCTTCTGCTATGTTACAGCATGGAACAGATGGTTAGCTGTTCTTTAGATACTTCACCCATTGTGTCGTTAAAGTTAACTGTTATGTGGGGTTTAAACAAATAGTTGCTGCATGGTTTTCTAACGTGTAAAAGTAAAATTCAGCAGAATGAAACTTTTATCTGATAAATGATCCATGAGAAACCCAAAGCATTACTGCCACTGAATTCTGAGTTAGGAGGCTGAAGTGTCGTGTAACATTTCTTCTTCAAAGAGGAAAATAAGTACGGAAACCTGTAATATAGTGAAGAGTTATAAACAATGGGCCCTGCTGATGTTTACTTCTTTAGCATTTCTTACGTGTTTTCCCTTGTCTCCAGGTATATTATCCCCAAGTGCATCACCCCTCTCTTGAATTCCTGCGTCCTTTCCTGAGCTGCTTTCTCTGGCCTTGTCCCATTCACACCTGCCACCTTCTCCCTTGCACCACAGTGTTCCCCTATTCATCCGCCCCCTCTGTCTTCCACCTACAGTTCTCCAGTAGCCCCTCTTACCTATACAAACTCTTTTTTTTTTCTTTTAGTACAGACGGGGTTTCTCCATGTTGGTCAGGCTGGTCTAAAACTCCTGACCTCAGGTGATCCACCCGCCTCGGCCTCCCGAAGTGCTGGGATTACAGGCGTGAGCCACCGCGCCCGGCTGCCTGTACAAACTCTTATGTGTGTTTCAGGCTCAGCGCATTCTCTCTGCAAGTCTTCCTGACACCCAGCCTAAGCCACCTGCCCTCCCTGGGTTCCCAGGACAGAGCTATTTCCGTGTTTACCCCTTTATGGTCACATGATCTCTTTACCTGTCTCCTCCCTCTGAGAATGCAAGTCCCTCAGGGAAGCTACGGTGTCTCACTGTATCATCCCTGCATAACCCAGCCCTCCATACTCTCCTGGTCAGACCACATTAGTCCCACCTGCACTATTGGGTACCACAGCCACGAGCCACGTCTGGACACTGGACAGTCGAAAGGGGATGGGTCTTAATTGAGATGTGCTGTAACTGTTAAATAGCCACCAGTTTTTGAGGACTTACTGTGAAACAAAGAATGTGGAATAGCTCATTCATAATTTTTACACTGATTGCCTGTTGCAATGATATTATGTTGGATGTGTTGGGTTCAGTGAAATATATTATTAAGTTAATTTTATCTGTTTCTTTTTTGTAGTCTGGGCTACTTTTTGTATTTTTATTAGAGACAGGGTTTCACTATGTTGGCCAGGCTGGTCTTGAACGCCTGACCTCAGGTGATCTGTCCACCTTAGCCTCCCAAAGTCCTGGGTTTACAGGTGTGAGCCACCCTGCCCAGCCTAAAATCAGTACATTATGTATATACTAACTTGTGACTCTTAGTCAATTGATTATCTTCCAGATCAACTATGACTTCTTTGTTTCATTGTAACTGGCGTGTTTTCTTATATTTGGGTTTTTGTTGGAGTGGTAGATGTAGGCGTCATATATTTCATGGATTCCTTAATGTCGAATATTTGGTAATGATGATTTACAAAACAAGATAATTCAGCTTTCTTTTGAATGTTAAAAATGTGACCATGCTTTGTTGGAATGTTTCTTAGCTGAATTTTTCTGTTGTGTGTACCTTTCAGAGAACGTGACTGTCATTCCTAACCAGGTGTATCAGCCCCTTGGCCCTTGTCCTTGTAATTTAACAGCTGGGGCCTGTGATGTTCGCTGCTGCTGTGACCAGGTACGTTCTTTGGTTATTGGGCATAAAGGTTATGCTTCCTGTGAGA